AAATGCCAAAGAGATGCATATCTCGGTGAGATCTTGCGAGTGGGATATTGTCGCGTTTTCCCGCGTGATTTATGGTTAACCCGTATCGTGACAGGCTGGGTTTAGTACCGGGGGTAATAAATAAGAAGAGAACAAGCCCATTTCCGATGGGATGAGTTTTGTAATGTTGGACTGTTCTCTTATTTAAAATGAGCTCATTTTGTGTATGTATTCAACGCAATTACTAACCGTGTGGGTAATTGATTTATTGGTCTATTCTACCTCGATCAATAATTCACTTCTTTATTAAGAATTTATCAATAAGAATGTATATAATGTTTCCAATATAAACCAACTCCTGTGCCCAGTTGGTTGTAGCTTATATTTGTTCTAGTTAAATTCTACTGGGCTAATTAAATTCTCAATTATTCCCCTATTTTATCAGTGCGTTCCCGAGTGGTTTATAATGCACAAATATGAAATAGATAGACAGCAATCGATTAGCACTGATCCTATTTCATATCCTTTTCATCCTTTTCATATTACATAATGCGTATAATAAAGAAGCGGCAAGAACTGGCGATCTAAAGCTTGGATTTGTGAGTCAGAGAACAATGTCTACAATAGCTTGTCCAGGACTCGAACACAGACCCCAAGGGAGTGGATGGATTTAGGAAAGACCCTGATGATCGTTTGCTTAACACCACAATATGAGTTGCTTCATTATTTTACTCATGTCAATACTGCATTAGCGTTACAAGCTATTCGAAGTGTTTGTGGGAATTCACAGAACCGTCTGCGTCGTACTTTCACATGGTCCAGATCACTCCAACCAGTGCACAAACTGCAGCACAAACTTTCAACGCATTTGAGCACTGAATTGCTGCAGAAGTGCCCGAATCACCACCACCACCACCACCCACATCTCTCGTACCTGGCCATATCTCATCCTACAGATGTGACCACATTCCCCGTGCATCTAGTCATGCAGTGAGCCAAAAATCGTGAACACCAACCAACAGCTCTCCTTTACTACCACAGACGAAAACCGCAATATTTTCAACACAGCTCGAAAAAAGGTAATGCAATGATAAGTCTGAAATATCCGCGGGAAAAATTATCCTACAGACTCGTTGTGTTGACGAGAAGTCCAATTGTCGTTCGACCAAACCCGTACAGTCTTCAGTCACTTAAAAAAATTGTTTGTTTCCAAATAATCCTATTTGTACACATGCCCCTTGACTCATTCTTGCTCGTTCTGTCTTTGACAATCTTACATCGGAGGAGTTGTACGGGCCCGGGCATTGTCGTTGATCGAGTTTACAGTGCACCAGTTTCACATTGGTGAATCATCCTGATGGTTCTCCCATAATTTCGTCATAAAATTCTGGGAACATGGGGGCTATTCTTATACTTTGTTCGTAACTTGTGCCTCCTCCCCCTTACATACACACAAACAGAAGAAATTTGGAGATGCAAAGGCGTCAGAGTGCGCGCCGGAGAGAGAGGGAGGTCAGTAATAAACTGTGCAAGAGAAATAAAATAAACACTGAAATTGAAATGAGTTTCGAATGAAACTAGGCTGTGCATCGGTTTGATAATGACCCAGGGGAACAACTTTTGCACACACAAACACACACGGTGCTGCATCAAAGAAAACTACCAACTACTCGACCGGTCTTCCTTCTAACATTCAAACGCTGGGATTTTCATCATTGCAAAATTAGTATCAACAACACCGTTTTCCCCGGCGCCCATCCGTCGATCTGCCGCCCCATAGATCGGAAATATGCAGACGTATTTATTTATCAAGACTATTTGCGTTTTTAATTAACAAATTGAAATATACATTCAACAGGTGGTGCTAACTGTACCTCTCCTATTTAAATATAAATTCAATTACATACATAATGACTATAGAAAAAGAACTCACTTACAATCACAAAAACGGATGGTGAGCAGTTTCTCTGTCGCTCTGTTAACTATCGTGCCCATGCATTAAGACCATTGAAATCGTATGTGGTTCACCGTTCTAAGCTTAGGTTACCGGCCCCAGTATATCTGGACAATGAATCTTAGTGACCGTGACGTTCATCTACTCTACCATGCCATCACACACTAGCATACAATAAGCAAAGTTTGTGTCGTGGACTCGATTAGTGATTAGGTTTTGGCACTCTCAGATGACAGTAGCTGAATACTCTACACCAGAACTTTATTTCAAACCACGTATTCTTACTCGGTAAAATCGAACACAACAGAAGTTCAAGACTTATTTTTAACTAACTAAACACGTCCGACACGTGTTCAGTACAGTGCGCTATCCTCTACCAGTCTACCATAGCATAGGTTGCTTCTATTCTAATCGTTGAACAGTGGCATGTTTTTTCCAATCTGGCGGATAACCAAAAGGAAACTTGTCCCTAACGCGAATTACGTCAGCATCTTAACAACCGCTAATCATTATGAAACTGATAACGTTATGACCTTAGCAAAAGCTGTCCGGGATCAACTTGATAAGCAATGTGAACGGTCAAAGCTGGAGGTGGATGGGGGGGGGGTAGAGGCACTACAGTCAAATAAGAAAAACAAAAGGCAATAGTGATTAGTCACGTCTACTCACGGGTACTCCCCTCCTATTCACCATGACAACAAGTAGGTTAGCACCACAGCACGTGAATGTTCATGCCGCATCACCGAGCCACAGATGTGCCTTACCACCGCAAGAAATCATCCAGTTGGCAAGTGAAATAGTGAATTCTGAGACAAAGCAGTCGGTCAGCATTGTGATTGATCAAATGCGCATATTCAAATAGATTTGAAAATCTGACGTCAAATCTAACGTCAAAGGAAAACAGTGGACATCACTTTCATTGGTACACAGGAGTGTGGAACAATTTTAGTGCATGTAGGCTACATCACGTGTTACTGATGGAAAGTTTCCCGTGTCTGGTTGCTTTCGACGAAAGTATTTCTGTCCAGAGAGTTTGTTCAATTTTGTGATCGGTACCATTTTCCTGCTTACTACCCAACTGGTCATATCCATCTTGAGAAATAAAATTCAGTTTCCAATATCATACTTGTGTGTATCGATCGCTAAGAGTGAATAAAGAGCATTTATTCCGAAATTTACCTCCCACTGTAATATACTTAATACTCTTGTAAATATCCATCCTGCGATACATTCTGGATACATCCTGCGCATATATCGCCTTGTTACTGGTCTTCCCTACATGCAAATCGAGATAGTGTGAAATTTGTTGCACTGATGAGGCAGATTTTCGATAACTGTCACTCCTGAGATGTATGCGCACAAGTCATACTTTTTCGAGATTAAGCTTAATATTGCACTTCATTCGAGGTTGGTCATAGAAAACCGTTGGACCTCGTGAATTCTTGTTTTTTTCCTCCCAACACATATGCAGTTTCCGGATAGGTCAGTTCCAATGCCGAATTCATTCATTTGTCACCCAATATCCCGGATCTAAATACAATCAAAAAACCTTTTTTTTTCCTGTGTTGGAAACAGAGATAAGTGTGCTACCTCGACAATGGTCGTTGGTGGCCAGGATGCGCTTGTATCAGAGGAAACTGGCAAACGCGATTTAACAGTCAACTTGGTGGATTCCAAATAAAAACGATCAGCCCAAGTGCTCAAAAAAGGAGATCAATTAGGGTATTGACAAACTGAAAGCACAATACCTGTATCGTGTCTATGAGTTATTTTACGAGTAAATTCTGAAGGTCTTTTTTTACTAAAGCTTCGTAATCTTAGAGCTGACGCACCAGTAACCGTTGTCAAAATAGAGAAATCGTATTTCCATCAGGTATTCAACTTAGACAAGCAAAAACATTAGTGAATACTATCACAGACGTCTGAAGTGAAGCATTGAACCCCGTGAATGGGACTCAAAACACTAAGCGTTGAAGCGAATAAATCTGACGGATATCAATGTGCCGCACGAGTTTGATCAATACCTGTAGGGTGTGGTGTGACAATCGAATGCTTGGTATACCGCACGCAACGTATGCTATATCCAAGGACTTGAGAGCATTTGTTCCGGTGAAATAACCTCAATACATGTCATATATTACAGTCGTATTATCTATGGGGATTACAAATCAACGTTGGCAAAACTTTGAGCATTCGGTTTTATTCCGACAATCAACCCAACGATTTTGTAGTCGTAAGGCCGAACTGACTGCATTGTACACCGTATTCGCGATTTTTTCAACTTTAGCGAAACCCAAAATCAGCATTATCGAGGATGTTATCATCAGTCAGGATTGGGTAGTCGATAATCAGTATCATGCCGAACCTTTTCGTTAGCCATTTGGAATGTAATGTGCAGATCTAAGGAGTGGAGCCTTGTGCTCTCTCTCTCTGTGCGTGTTCTCCGATGAACATTGATCGGCTCAGGTTAGGACGGTAAGCGCTGTTCAATCGATCACTGGACCGGTGCTGAGAACCACAACGGTGACACATCCTCACTCAAGCTTCCAGTGTTCTGTTTTCTGAAGC